GATTGTTCAATCATATTCATACACATGTTGGGCGCGTAAAATAAACAGAGAAATCAAGTGAATGCAAAAATTGTGTATAAGTTTTGTTTTGGTAATGGTTGAAATTCATCATAAAAACCATATCTTCTAAGATTTACAGACAGCCAGAAAGTAGTAATAGTAGTAATAGTACTGGTAGTACGGGTAGTAATTGTGACAAAAAGTTTATTTTAAAAAATAAACAAGAAAAGAAAAAACCCTAATCAAAAACATTGTCAACAATGATGCGTGAAGTAAGCAAATATAGCATGGGTATACGGTTGGATGGATACACGGACACGTGAACACATACACATACACAAACACACAAATACAAACACACACACTGGCGCGAGTAAATACACATAGACATATAATTCTAGACATATAAAACACCTGATATTATTGAGAATTTTTGTTCAAAATAAATAAAAGCAAACAAACAACAAGAGGGAGGGAGGTGTTACAGGGAGGAATATTACACACATGTTTTAGTATAAGAAAAAAATAAAGATACATGAGAATAATAATAATAATAGTAATAATAATAATAATAATAGTATAAATAATAATGCTGAGAGAAAAATATATGTTCACTGATTTGTTGTATCTTATGTGGAAGATTTCACTCACACATGAATACAGACACACAGGTACACAGACACACAGGTACACACACACACACACAAGATACTAACGACAAATAAAGCAAATAATAAGGTGACAAAGGCAAAATACAATGAAATATAAAATAGTTCACAATTGTAACATTTACAATTTGATAATCTTCCTTATAGTATAGTATAGAGAGAAAGAGAAAGGAAAAACCCTGAGAGAGATAAACAGAGTAAAGCGAAAGAGAGAGACATTACAAAATAGAATAGAAGAGAATTTTAAAAAAAAAAATACTACTAGGTAAATGTTTTCTTCCAATGTATGTGTGCGTGCATGTGAGTCTGTGTTACTAATGTGTGTCTACCTGAATTCATCACACCGATGATATACACACACACACATAGGCCCATGAATATTGGATAAATTACCTGAAGACGAAGTGTCAAGGAACATGAACTAGACGCGCTGTCTACACGCACACACACACCCAGAGAGAGAAAGAGACGAAAATAGGCGCTAAGACGACAGGAAGCCATAGAAAAAACAAACAAGTGTGAACTAAAAAAAAGAAGAGCGAAAAAACACCGAGAAAATGACAAAAAAATTGACAATGGCAACGACAACACACACACACACCTACACACATTGATTGATTTTATAATAAAATTTAGTTTCCGATACAAAGTTTCTCATCTTTCTTTATAAATAAATGGGGAAAAAAAGGTTAGGAGAAGAAGAACGAGAAGACATTTTTTTATGGCTAATCAATGGGAGTGAGAGAGAGAGTGAGGGCGCTTTTTTCTGTCAAATAATTAATAATTACAATAATAATAATAATAATAATAATAATAATAATAATAAAAGCGTCAAATATATCCCTGTGTTTACGATCAATCTACACACTGGGTGGTGGTTTATTGATTTATTATCGATTGATTTGTTTACATATTTTGGTAAACAAACAACCAACCAGGCAAACAGATAAGTAGACAGACAACATATATATAGGAAAGCAGGATTTCAAAAACGGACAATGTATAGAGGCACTAAAGGCATAAAAGAAATCAAAGAGAATCTACGGACAGTGACGATAACAACGGCAACAGTAACGATAAACACATCTGGCTTTGTCTCTCGATCTGTTTGTACATACACACAGAATTGAACCTGAGATATGATAATCGTCTGCAATTGTTTGGGGGGGGGTGACAATGCGCGAGCGCTCTCTCTCTCTCAAAGTCTCTAGAAAAACTTGAAGGGATACAAACAGAAAGCAGAAGAAGAAATAGAAGGGATGGGATCAATAAAAAACAGGATTATTGAATAATAATAATAATAAGTGTGGCGCTTACAAATACACACACACACACACACAAAAGAAAATCTACACATCATATAAAGCAAATAAGTGTTGAGAAATGAATGACAAACGAAACCCAATATATATATATATACATACAAAATGAACACCGATTGAACATGTTGAAGTGTGCGTGTATGCGTGTACGTGTGTGTGTACCTGTGTGTGTGTGTGTGTATCTGTCTCTATGTGATGTGAATATGTGCGTTTTGCCATAGGCTTCTTTCTAGCAGCTAGCTCTTATGATAAGATTGAATAGTTATTAAAAGTAGGTAGTAGTAGTGAATCGGTGAAGAGAAAAAAAATTTCACAAATCAAATGAATAATTTTGTAAAATTTATAAACTATAGAAAAAAAGAGGGAGAATGTTTTTTTTTTAAAAAAAACCAAAAAAGAACCCCACAAACCATGTTTCTTTCAACACTTCATAATTCCGTGGTATGGCGCAGGAGAAGGAATAGTGTTATGTGAAACTAAGCACTGTATCCATCATCATTGATAATAACTCTGTTGATCAAATGAAACTGCCAATACAAAGGATACGAAGATGTTTGTAAGTAGTAAGTACAGGTTGATAACAAAATTCATGGCAACACAACACCACACACATACACACATACCCAATCTATCGATCAATGGATAACTAGATGCACACAGAGAGAGATTACATAAAATATACCAATCAATCAATAAGTGTCCCATTGAAAGAAGGATAAATGAACAAGGACAAAATAGAGTATATGAATAGAGAGCAATAAAGCAACACAATCGGTTGATCGATCGATCTATATACATATGGAAACACATGTGTAAATATATTGAACAGCTCTATCCGCCACACGACTCTCTGTGCGTTGATTTGAAAGGAAAAATAATTGACCTCTTTTCATTCAATGTAAATTTCATGCATACTTTTCGTGTGTGTGTGTATTTGTGTATACATTTTTTCTAGCGAAAAAAATTCAAAACAGAAATGAGAGACAAGTAAAAAGAACCAACAACACTTCAAATGACAAAACAAGCAGAGAGAGAAAGAGACAACGAGTAGTTTACAATTGAACCATTAGAAAATAAACATGATAAAATAAACTGAAGAAAGAAATGTGTTATGTGTTGGTTGACATGATTTTCCCTGAGTTGTTGCGTTCTGTTGTTTTAAAACAAACAAAATAGTACACAATATGACAATCGTTCGTTACAATATTGTACTTCTATTGTATGTGTGTGTGTGTGCTGTTTAACCTGGCTCGTTTATCCAATCAGTATATACGAATGATTGAATGATGAACAAGCTCAAAATAAAATCATATGTAAACCATGTTATTGATTCATTCTCAATCGATCGATCGATCGATCCAAAACAAGACTAGCTGGACGGGGGGGGGGGTTTAAAAACAAATACTACAAACGATCAAAAAGATTGAATAAAACAAAAAAAATTGAACAGTTGTACATTGAACAGACCAGTTTCAGTAGACAAACGCCGACACATCTGTAAGTGTACACAAATAATGTACACACAATCAATGAATAGCGTGCTATTATCAGAATCATCATCAATGAAGAGACCAATTGCACACAGACACACACACACTATTGTCCATCTATCATGTGAATTGAGAATAAGAACATTTTATTGATTAACTGATTGATGACTGTAAGACTACTATTAACCTGAATGAGGAATAAAGGAGAAATAATAAATTAATTAAGTTTACCCGTTTGTGAGTTTCACAGATTACTTTTTTTTTACACAAACTCACTCCCTGCCATCCACCCATTCACTCACTCACCTAAACACACACATGCACACACATACGGAGATAGAGAAACAACACACCGGGTGGGAATACACAAACTATGCGGAATCGGGACAACCAGCCAGCAACAATGGGAAGGAATAAAAGAGTGTGTGTGTGAGAGAGAGAGGGGGGGGGAGAAAAAAACAATCAAAATCAAAAATTAATATAATAAATGTACAACAGATACTACTCATACATACTACTATTACTACTAGTAGTAGTAGTAAGACGACCACAATAGTCATTGTAAAATCATAATCATCAGTAATGCAGATTACATATACATGTACATGTATGTATACATACAGAGACATAAACGGAAGGAAAAAAAATGTGAGTGTGTGTGAGTGTGTTGAGTAAAATTAGAAAAAAAACAAGTCAAAATAATTTTTTTTAAAAAAAAAGAAAGTAACATCAACAACAACCAATGAAATCGCGTGTGTGTGTGTGTCTGTCTGTGTGTAGGCCACAAATATACATACACACATACACACCTTTTGTGATGATGAATAGATTATATAGACTGGCAATAATAATAATAATAAATAGATTGATAATGATACTACTACTAATAGTGATAATAGTAGTATAGAGAACAAAAGAAATGCTTTAATCTCTCTCTCTCTACGTACATATATGGTACAGTTAATCCTTGAATAGACACCTACATTCACACTCACACGCACACACACGTACACATTCACATATAAATAAATAGACATACAAATAAATGTGCACTGTTCGATCAACAGTATCGACGAATTTGAGAATTCAGGCGCTTAAGGGTTGGCGGTTGGCTTTTTTTTCGTTTGCCTGTTTGTTTGTAAACCGAAGAACAATGAACAAACAAGCAAACCGAAACATTGACAACGACAACAATATCAACGAGTGATTGTAAATAACATGAAGCCAATTAAGAAAGAATCAATCTTGCACATGTATATGCATGTATGTGTGTATAGGTGTATGTGTCTGTGTTTCTCTTGTGTATGTCTGTCACTCAATCAATAACACATGACCCGAGGATGATGAGAGCAGTATTCATAATAATAATAATAATAGCAGTAATAAAAATATTCTTTTAATTGCGCTATGATTGCTCAGACAGGTCAGTTGAAAGGAATTCATGGGGAGAAAAAAACACCGTGTATATGCTGATCACTTTGCATTGCATTCTGCTGATCATTCAATAAAATTCTTGATCGTTAATTATCAGTAAATTGATCAAAATTATTATTATTATTATTATTTTGAAGACCATTATTGCTATGAATATGATAATTAGCAAATCGTAAATCTTGTTGTTGTTGTTCTTCATCAGTTAATTGAAACATTTCAAGATATAATTGTGGAAATTCTAAATCTGGTCGATCTTGACGTAATTGTGCTAATACTTCATGATGTTCAATGTTTAATTCTTCTAACATTGGTGAAATCAGCGACAATGCTGTATAACGTTCTTCTAATGTATAACCAACTAGAAATAGAAAAAATAAGTGTGAAAGATACACAGAAGTGTCAACGAAAACAGGAGAAATCGATTTTACATCGAATAAATAATTTTATACAATACTAGAGATGATTGCTTTTTTTTAGATACTGAAATCATCAATCAATCATTGGTTAGACCACCATTAGAGACCTGGAAGCACTGTAAGATGACCGTTTCGTCCTGGTATGGGACTCATCAGCGGCAGTGCGCAATCACGGCTCCTGCATCTCACAGTATTCGAACCCGGGACTTTCGGTATTGTGCGCGAACACCTAAGCATCGGACCACTGGGCCAACATCCAACGGTGATGAGTCTCATACCAGGACGAAACGGCCATCCTACAGTGCTTCCAGGTTTATACCGGTGGTCTAACAATGACTGATTGATGATTTCAAATGTGTAAAAACGCAAACCTCCAAAACTGTGCCCCAAAATATCGTAACAGTGCTCACTAGTGACTAGCTTCGTGAGCGAATTCTCGGAGTTCCAGTTGAGAAGACGTGACCAATGGAGTTCAACCCTGTTGGGTGTAGGCAGTAACTACCAAAGACAAATGGGTGAGGTCGCGCAAAATCCCTAGATCAATCAGAGTTAGACATTAACACCGCTGGATGCCGACCCAGTGGTCCGATGGTTAGGCGTTCACGCACAATACCGAAGGTCCCTGGTTCGAATCCTGCGAGGAGCAGGAGTCGTGGATGCGCACTGCCACTGATGAGTCCCACACCAGGACGAAACAGCCGTCTTACAGTGCTTCCAAGTTTCTAATGGTGGTCTAGTAACAATAATTGATTGATTGATGATTTTAAATGTGTATTAGACCAATATTGGGACCCTGAAAGCATTGACAGTTGGCTGTTTCGTCCTAGTATGGTACTCTTCACAATGCTAGTGCGTATCCACGACCGCCACTCATGAGAAACAGATCCAAGATCTTCAGTTTAATGCATGCAAACGCTTAACCTCTAAACAACCACCAAAACTGGCATACAATGGTGTTAATGTCTAACTTTGATCAACCTCAACCATTTTATCTTCTATGAGTAACTGTTGAATTCCACTCAACAATCTTCACAACTCTCTAATATATATATATATATATATATATATATATATATATATTTAAACAGCTCCTCTAAATGACCTTGACAGAGTTATTGACTCATTCAACCAAAATAATATGCATGAATGATTAATCCAGTGAGCGTATAATTAAAACAAAGAGACTTTGAGATCTTTCCACCGATAATAATACACAACATACACTAATCTAGTCATACTTGACGGAGATGGTCTCAAAGATATGGAAACTTTTACATACACACCTAGGTAGCAACAGCATCATTGATAGACAAAGCACAACTAAGGACAAAACATTTGTACAATTGAAGAAAATCTTCAATTCAAACTAACTATTCATCATCACCAAAAGTTAGAATTTTTAACATAAAAATGTCAAGACAGTTGTTATACTACTGAATGAAGCGGAAACTTGGAGAACTACGAAAGCCATCCTCATTCATAAGATACAAATGTTTCTTAAGAGTTGTCTACGCAAGATACTTCTCATCCGTTGGCCAGATACCATCAGCAACAATATACTGTTGGTGAGAACAAACCAGCTACCTCTAGCTGAGGAATAAATTAGGTAAAAGCGTCACAAGACAAGGTCTCACTTGGAATCCTTAAGACCAAAGAAGACATTATTCCGGGAATCAGAAGTAGACATGAAACGAATGAAGAGTAATTGGGTAGGATTGAAAATGAAGGGCCATTACACGTAACAGACGTAAGTAAGTAAGTAAGTAGGTAAGTATGAACTCAGAATGAACTACATACATTTGGATTCGATCATTGTTTGGTTTTTTCATATCAGTCAGTCAGATGCAACGTAGAACTTCGTACATAAGTACATCAGTTCATGTCGCCATACCACATTAGCACAGAGAGATGCAATTGTCAATTCAAATCCAACAGTAGTAGATGTAGTAAAGGTATTAGAAGTAATCGAAGAGGTTAGGATTAGAAGATATTATTCAAAAAGTATGTATGATTCAGTGAGAAAAGTTTAGAAAGTCAAAACTAGAGGTGTGGAAGAATCCAGAAGATTAGGATTTGAGAGAACACAAAGAATAAATGCATCGGCGCCATTGCAAACGGTTTTGAGCCATGTTTTTTCATGAGCATGACTGGTAGATGCGCTCTGCTGATGAGGCAGTCCCATATTAAGGACGAAACAACATAATGCTTTAATAGAATATATATATATATATATATATATATATATATATATATATATACATTATGAACTAAGAATGAATGAATAAGTTAACATTAAAGTCAATTTTCAATAATTACTTACCAGAAATAATATGTTCAGTAAGAACTTGTCCAACTAAATTAAATAAATGTGCCGGTGTAACAGGATCATCTAAACCTTCACGATCTAATTTGACGAATGAAATGTGTAAAGTACAAAGAGACACAGTGAGAGAAAGAGAATAGAAGGTAGATAAAAAAATTTAATGCTAACAAGTTGCATATACACAAAAAATGTCATGAGTATTAAAGTTGTCAACTCAGTCTTTCTACTTACTGTTTTATTCCTCTTACAGATAATCTCACGCATAGTTGTTCCTTACACTTTCCCCCACCTCCTCACCGGTACAGAGAGTAGTTTTTTAAGGCTTAATGCAAACTTTCCAGTTAAATTTCTACCGATCGTTATACCACACAGAATAAATTAATAAACATATTTACAATACACTCACTATACACCTATTAAAATCATGAATTTTATTCACCGTTAGATCATCACCATTAGAAACCTGGAAGCATTGAAACGCACTGTAGTTTCGTCCTGGTATTGGACTCGTCAACAGTGCGACTCAATGACTTCTGCTGCTCACTGCATCATTCGAACCCAGGAATTTCGGTCTTGAATATGAATGCTTAACAATGACCAGTGGGGTTCAACCCTGTCAGTTGTAGGCAGTAACTACCAAAGACAAATAATGGGTAGTGGGGGTTGCACAAAAATCCATCCCTACATTGTCCAAAGTTAAACAACATTAACACCATTGAATGCCAGTTGACTCAGTAGTGGTATAGAGAGGTTAGTCGTCGTTCACGCCCAACAATGAATTTCCTTAGTTCGATTCCTACAAGTGGCAAGAGTCATAGATGCTACCTGTTGATGCCGAAACAGTCGTCTTTCAGCGCTTTCAAGTTTCAAATGGTGGTCTAACATTGATCAATTCATCCTGTAACTCAACTGTATCAATAACATTTGGCTTTAATCTATAATAAATAAACAAATAAGCAGTATGACCTTGATATTTTATCCTAAATCCAGTCACCCTACTTTCATCGTCTATACATTGATAAACAGACACATACACACACACAGACACGCACACAAGAGAAACAAACAAACATAACAAACACGAACATGAACACAACTGTCTGATTTGGATTTTATTTTTTATTGACCTTGACCGAGAAAAATCCCAAATTGTTTAGTTACACTGTGATTAAAATGTGAAAACAAAACTAATCATAATCACAAACCAGATGGGACAAACAATAAGACACAAAGACGTCGTAGTATAGAAATGAGAGCAATAGAGAGTGTGTGAATACAACTACATGTGATAAGTAGACACGCACACACACACACACAGAAAATGTTGTAGTTCATTCATTCATTCATTCATACATTGACGTCAACAATTAGACTAAATCTATGTCAAGGTCTTTTAATAATCAACAGCAGTTAGCAGCAGCACTAGCCAGCCAGCAATGAAATAACTAACATGAACAAAACCTATGCAAAATACTAGACGTCTGACCTTAATGAAAGCCATAGTGTAATAGTGTAATAATATGTTCGTTTAGTTAGTAGAATGAAAACAAATTAGGTGAATAAAACTGTTATTATGATATGATATGAATTGTTCATGTGAAGCTTTTCGAAAATGAATTTAATGAAATTAACTCCTAAATGGTTTGGTACGGTTGAGAGAGAGAGAGAGAGACAGAGAAAGAGAGGTTAGTTTAGTCGTCCGCTTTAGATGTTGCTCTAATATAGTCATCGCTTTCTTATGACGACGAGGGTGTTGTTTACGTAATTGAAAGCGATGAAAAACACAGTTCCGGCGCTTAGATCAGGTTGATAAATACGAAGGGACTTATCTAGAAAGGGGGTCAAGGAACCTTTATTCAAAACCAAATAGTGCCTATGTCTCGTTTTTCAATTAGAGTTATGGAGACTAGTGTTTTTTTGTACATTTGAGTCATCAATCAATCATTGTTAGACTAGTTTCGTGGGGAAATTCTCAGAGTTCTAGTGAGAAGACATGACCAGTGGAGTTCAACCTTGTCGGATGTGAGGCAGTAACTACCGGAGACAAATGGGCGTGGCTGTGCAAAATTCCCGGATTGATCAGTTATTAGACATTAACACCGTTGGATACCGGTCCAGTGGTCCAGAAGTTCGTGCGTGAGATCAAAGGTCCTGTGCTCGAATCCTTCCGATTAGTCAGTCCTATACCAGGATGAGACCAGCCGTCCAGTGCTTCCAAGTTTCTAATGGTGGTCTAACAATGATTGATTGATGATTTTAATATGTATCATTGTTAGATTTTATTCTATGATGAGAAGCGACCCATGATCCGTTTCATTTTAAAATAAAGATTTTCAAAACAATTAGTGTCCCCTTTTATAAATTTTAAGAATCACAGTATCCGATCATTTTAGGAAGGTTCCTTAAGGCACTGAAATGTTTGGATGTTAAAATATTCTTGTGTCTTATTTTGAAACCTTCAACCAGTTCTGATTATTTTGAGTGATTGGAACAAGAGGGGTTCAGTTGAGTAAAGAGATTGTCAAACTGGGCGTCAGTCGGAAAGTGTGAAATTTCAGCATGAGGTATGGAAAAGTTAAATGAGAGGAATAGAGCTTCTTTCTTCAAATACAGTAAGTTCTACAGATGTGAAATTTGTCAGGCTAAATTGCAAAGAATTTCGGCGATTATCATTAATGAAGGACTTGTCCAACACTTGCTTCATTAGCATATTTCTCAAATCTGACAAAGGTTTTCGGAGTAGTAGAGTAATGAATAAATGTGATGACAAAAATAAAATGTTATCCATCCATCAGATGCCTTGACAAGTATGATATGATATGTGCGACCAGATTGTCTGCGCAAATACATCACCTATTTATTTTCAGATCAATTACGGTCTTCTCATCACTGTTCTTTCAAAATAAAGATTTTTATTTAGTTTTACTGATAGTCACATTCAATCTAAATTATATAAACTTGTGTCATGATGCTTATATTGCGGTAATTCACAAAGGATGCGCATATGCCAACAATGACTGTTTAGATTACAGTCAAAATAACAACACCAGGGTCATCTTGTGGTGCGAGCTACTTATAAGTAGTATATGACGTGAGTGTTAACGTAATGTCTGGCAGCAGAAGATGGGGGAAGATCAAGAAAGGAAGAGTTAGAAGAACACAATGGAATTTTTTATGAAACGCATGAATAATGACAATGGATTGATGTTTTGCAACAGGAACAGTCCAGTTCGATATGATGGACTGATATTTTGCAAATGAACGATTTACGATATGGTTTTCCGATTTTACTAAGTAACTCTCTAATTTTCGTTAAATACAATTCGATTGCCCCACCTGTATTCTCGTTCACTACAATCTGAGCTATTTAAAATCGAATTAAATCTCATAACCATTGCACAAGTAAGTGGATATCATCTACACACTCAGCAGCTAGTTAGTTAAATAAACACAATGTTGTGTTGAAGTGAACAGTGAAGTGCAACATTCCAACAAACTAAGAGGAAACAGGTGTGTGTATCGCTTTTAGCTTCCTCAATGTGGTGGATATCAGTTCATGGAGAAAATCAGTTCCCATTTGATATCAAGAAACCTGAAAGCATTGAAAGATGGCCGTTTGTTCCTAGTATAGGACTATTCCTCAGTAACAGTGCACATCTACGACTCTCCATATACGGGAATCGAACCCAAGACCATTGGTCTAGTGCACGAATGCTTAACCTCTAAACCAATGAGTCAGCATCCAATGGTGTTCATCACACTAACTCTATAATCAATCCAAGATATTGGCGCAATCTCACGCATGATTTTCGACTCCCACAGGCGGGAGTCATAGGTGTGCATTACCACTGACGAGTCGCATACTAGGATGAAATGGCTGTGGTGGTGGTGATGATCTAACATGAATTATTGATTCATCACTTCTTCAACGAAACTCAACAATCTCTATCAATCAATAATGCAAAAAAGATAGTAGTACAACAATGATAACGATAAATAATCAAAACAAATTTTCAATGAAATTTCATTTCATTTCAATTTACCTTTAAATACTTCTTGGGCACAAATTAAAGTTAATTCAATATTATCTAAATGTAATCGATTGATAAATTCACCTGAACGTATTAAATGACCAGATATTTTATGAAATGTAGGAAAATGACTAAGTATAATGGAGTGTTCTTCCGGACTAAATGGAGGGTGAAGAAAAATCAAAAAGGAAGAAATAGAGAGAAAATGGAATGGAATGCAATTACACTACAAGTTAAAAAAAAATATGCTGTATTTATGATTATTACTACTTATTACTTATTACCGGTGTTTTTTCAAGGTAAGGTTGTTTGCCTAAAAAGGATAGTTAGTTAGATCCCCTTGAACTTGCGCTTGATAAATAAATATCTTTAATTTTTGGATTTATTTCATGGGTTGATCAGTTGACCTTGAGACCATATATTTCCTATCAGGAAAATCATTGGCTGTGATTGGCTACTGTGTTATTTTAGTGTGCTATTTTTTGTGACTGATTGTCCGAAGGACGTCTCTATGGTGTATAGATAAATGCTATTTGAGTGCTTGGATTCACTGGCTGGGTGTTTGTAGAATACAATTTCTACGCTGTATTAAGACTTCTTGTTGATACCTTTTGGTCAAGGGATCACAGTAGCTTACCTGGACACTGGTTCATTGTTTTTTGTTCTCGTTATTTGACTAAGGTGAACTCGTAATAGTTTTATGCATACCTAGAGACGAGTGGGACACATACCCAAGGGGGGGTTGGGAAAGTTGGGAAACTATCAAAAGCCATCATCCAGAAGATATAAGTGTTCATGAATAGTTGTTTATGCAAAATACTTTGGATTCATTGGCCAGATACCATCAGTAAAAATCTACTGTGAGAGAGAATAAACTCGATTCCTCCGGTGGAGAAGGAAAGCACCTAACTGAGTCACAAGACAATTCCCCTACTTAAAACCCTCAAGATCAAAGGAAGAGAGGAAGGCCAATGAACACATTATACCGAGAAATAGAGACAGACATGAGAAGAATGAACAATAGTTGGACAGAACTGGAAAGGGAGGCCCAAGACAGAGTAGATTGGCGAATACTGGTCGGTGGCCTGTGTTGTACTAGGGGTAACAAGGGTTAGGAGGTAAGTAAGTCAGCCTCATACCCAATCCTATTTCTTTATTTGGGTCTCAGTGATCAGCAATAATCATCGAAGAGCTCTCTAAGTGAGAGATATAATGCGTTGGGCTTCGCGGATAGATAACATAAGAAGGAATATGAGAGTGTCTAGGACAGAGTTAGTTTGAAAATCCTAGTCGGTCGTCTGTGCTCGACGAAAGAGACAACACAGGCGTAAGTGGCAAATGCAATCAATAAATACAACACAAAAAAAATACTTTCTACACTTTCTAATGACTATTTTGACAGAGATTTCAATCAATAGAAAATTAAAGAATAACTCCTGTTTCAATTAACAATAATAATACTAGGAGAAACTGTTGACCAAATTAGAGCAACTTTTATTGTACGCTTAAAAATCACTAATTCAGAACGTCAATTCAAAATAAAATAAAAAACTGGGAAATCATGTATTTCTCAACAGAGAAACAATTGAGATTTGTAAATGAATGATATAACTGTTTTCACAGTTGAAATTACGAAACTTGATCTAAGCTAGGTGATTCACTGATAGGAACCTAGAAGCAATGGAAGGCGATCGTCAGCACCTCTACCTTTGTCTTTCTAACCTGATCTCACTGAATTATACTTCTTGAATAATATCTTCAAACCCTAGTCTTCTTCATTACCATTAATACTTCTACTATCTTTATCACTATGAGATTTGATTTGACATTTGCGTCTCTGTGCTAATAATGTGGCCTGGCAACATGAACTGATGTCCGTACGTACGAAGTTCTACGTTGCAACTGACTGACTGACTGACTGACTGATTGACTGATCATGATCTTCAACAACTCTTCATCCTTCAAGTCTATTTATTGTATGACATTTCGTTCTCATAGCTGAATAGTTTGTGGTCGCGTTGATGAAGCTCCTCTATTGTTCTCCTTCTAAAACAACATTAACAACAGAAACGTCAGATAGAGAAAAAAAGTGAAGTATTGGAATTTCTTCACGTATGAGGGTCGTAAGCGTCTCGATCCGTTGATTATATAATCATCCGTTTGAGCTACAAAGTTTTTCCTTACCATCTATCTATCTTACAAGATAATATAATATAATAAAGAGACGACTGTATACCATCTGTTTTTTTTTTACACTTGTTAAATATAATGAAATATGGTTTTTTGTTTTCGTTCACTAGACTACTACTCTTTCTTGATTTATTATTTTTACACATGCAATATGTTTAAGAAATTAGTCTGTGGGGAAATAAAAATTAACATGTAATTTCAAAATTAAAATTAATAATAATAATAATTTATTAAAATAGTCGGTAGATTTTATTTTATTTTTTTATTTTTTGATCAGAATAAACAAAAAAGCGAAGTGATCATATATGCTGCTATTCATGAATTATAATATTATGGTGAGACAGTGAAAATATGAATATCCTGGGACAACCGAGTAACCATTGTTATCGTTAGGAAATGATTTCTAGGTAAGGATGACAAATTAATAGAAATAGTAGTCAAACTTCATCAGTTGAGGTGGTTGGGACATGTGTTACGTTACGTATGCCTAACCACCGACTGCAGCGACAAGCTATGTTTTGTGGTGTAGGAGTAGGTTGGAAGAAAGTTACGGGGCGGCCAAACCAAAACATGGCACAAATCCATCAAGTCACTGACAAGTGTAATGAGTCATGTTGGTAGTTGTAGACTACCTGGTTCGGGTCCGCGAGATGGTAGTCATCAATGGTTAGGGACCTTGAATGACATGGCTCAGAATCGTTTGCAATGGCACAGGTGCATTCATTCGCTGTGTGCTTCTTAATTCTAACCTTCTGCATTCCTCATAATCTCTACCTTTCTCCTTCTAAATTTATCTCACTGAATTATACTTTTTGAATCATATCTTTGCTCCCTAATCTTCTCCATTACTGCTAATAACCCTACTATCGCTATCACTCTTGGATTTGAACTGACAATTGCGTCTCTGTGCTGATTGGGGCATGGCAACCTGAACTGATGTACTTACGTATGAAGTTCTGCGTTGTATCTGTCTGTCTGAAAATATGAGTTGATTCGTGGTCCTTCTTCAAGGTTACTCTACAGGTTACGGTGGAGTTTCATTCTCTAAGCTGGGGATGTAGTATTCACATTTCTCTATGTATGACTCATAGATTATCCTGTTGACCTCGATCTTGATGAGTTGTATTGGACCTTAACCTTGTCGTTGATCTGTTTCTTGATCCTATGATTGTCGATGATTTTTCTGATTGGTTGATCAAATGGGTCAATGTCAATGTGTTTGTTGATTGCTGATTGATCTAAGGGCCAAGCTTCTGAAAATTCTCTAATGCTCTTTGTATTCCCTCTATCCAGTATGTTCACAGTTGTTCGTATGATATGATTGATATGAGGGAAGATGTTACATGACACTTGACTGCTAACTGACGTTCACGTTTGGAGTTTGAGTAAAATCAAAAGAGTTTTGTGTAGCGTTAGCAACCGTACCCCTGTGAAAACAAACTCCCTAACCCTAAACCAATCAATCAACGTAAAATCTGTCTTGACAAATGAAAGATGTTCCATAGCGAAAGATAGAATTCTTCTAAATTCACAAACCCTAACAGATCTTTTGCTAATAACCAAAGGCAACCTACTTTAGTTAGCAACCTTTTTCCCCCCAAAAAAATGAGATAACATCATTAGGCGAATAAGTAACTAAGTCATTAATTAATGACATAACATGAACAATTATCTTAATTAGTTGTTAATAAATAAATAAATTATTGAACTTACGTAAAATCAAAATAATTATATCGTGTTCTATCTTCATTCATATAATCACGGCTAAGTTCCAATAACATAATTGGATACATAGCACTACGAACAAGTTGACGTTGATCACTAATTTTTAAATAACAAAAACCTACAATGAAAATTAACAAACGAACAAAAAACGTTATGATAATTACAACAATACACAGTTGTTATTTGTTAACATCGAATGAATATCAATGCTATTTTCATCACAGAGTTATGAAGATAGTTGTTTGACATTGACATCATGAATCAATGATTGTTAGACCAGTATTAGAAGCCCAAAAGAACTGAAAAACGACCGTTTCGTCCTGGTACGGGACTCATCAGTAACAGTGCACATCCAAGACTTCTTTTGCTCGCAAAAAGAGAGCTAGGGGCGGCCAGACCAAAACATGGCAGAAATCCATGAAGTCATTGACGAGTGGACTTTGCCATATTGGTAATTGTCGACTACCTGGTTGGGGTCCGCGAGATGATAAAAATCGATGATTAGATACCCTGAATGACATGGTTCAAAATCGTTCGCAATGGCACAGGTGCATTTATTCTTTGTGTTCTCTTAAATCCTAATCGTCTGGATTGTTCAACAACTCTAGTTTTGACTTTCTAAACTTTTCTCACTGAATCATACTTCTTGAATAATATCTTCTAATCCTAACCTGTCCCGATTACTTCTAATACCTTTACTACCTCTTCTACTATTGGATTTGAATTGAGAATTACATCTCTGTGCTGATGTGGTATGGCAACATGAACTGATGTACTTACGTACGAAGTTCTACGTTGCATCTGACTGACTGACTGACTGCTCGCAAAATTCATATCCAGGACCTTCAGTCATGTGCACGGACGCTCAACTTCCATACCACTGAGTCGGTTGACATCCAATGGTGTTAATGTCTAACTCTAATCAATCTAAGTAATTTTGCGCAACCTCATTCATCGTCTTCCAAACAACTTTCAAACAAAACCAAAATCAGGATTTTCAATACAAATGTCAAGACAGTTCTACTGTATGGAGCGGAAACTTGGAGAACTACGAAAGCTATCATCCAGAAGATACAGGTGTTTATTAACAGTTGTCTACGCAAAATACTTCGTATTCGTTGACCAGACACCATCAACAACAACGAACAGTGGGGAGAGAACAAACCAGATTCCAGTGGAGGAGGAAATCAGGAAGAAGCGGTGGAAGTGGATAGGACACACATTGCGGAAAGCAACTAACTGCGTCACGAGACAAGCCCTCACATGGAACCCTCAAGACAAAAGGAAAAGAGGAAGGCCAAAGAACACACTACGCCGAGAAATAGAGAAAGATATGAGAGGAATGAAAAAACATTGGACAGAACTGGAGAGGGAAGCCCAGGACAGAGTTGGTTGGAAAAGACTGGTGGGCGGCCTATGCTCGATTGGGGGTAACAGGCGAAAGTAAGTAAGTAAGTAAGTAAGTCATTCATCGTCTCCCGTAGTTACTGCCAACACCAGCGACAAGGTTGAACTCCACTGGTCACATCGTTTTCACTAGAAGTCGAAGAATTTCTTCACAAAGCTAGCCACTAACGGACATGTTTTACGATTCCTGATGATCGAGTCATGGAGATTGTTGTTTATTATTGAAACCACGAGTCATGGATGCTTACTGCCACTGATAAGTTCTATACCAGGACGAAACGGCCGTTTCTAATGATGATTGTCTAACATTGATTGATCGATTGACTGACTGATTCATGAATTCAATAATAAAATGAACAGAATGAAATCGAATTATAAATTGCTTTGAAATGAATGAATTCCGAAAAAAAACCATTTATTGAAATTTTAATTTTTTTTTAAATATCACACTTAAATAAATAATTATGATTACATTTTAAGCCTCCTACATAAAATAAGAAAAAAAATCAGTCGAAACAATTCGACAGTCCAAAAGGAATGCACCGTGAGTTTGACTTTATTTATGTCAACAGGGACAGACAGACAGACACAGACACACCCACATCCGCCGCGCGCACACACACACACACACACAACGATGATAAAATAATGATAGAAATTCTCCATAATGGTGGAATTCAATAAGAGCGCAACACGATAACTTGAATAAAAATTAGACGGTTAAAACAAAGGCCGAAAAAAAAACTTGAAATGAAACCATTCCGCCTTCATACAAAATAATAACAGTAATAATAATAATAATCGGGACATGACCTTGAAACAAATAGGAAAACTTAGCCAATTACAAAAAAAACACACTAAATAGTAGTAGTAACAGCTGATAAAAACAAATGTCAAAAATTATTCGAGATTATCAAGATCAGATAAATAGATAGATAGATATAAGAAGACTGAATCCATTGAGAATGCACTTAATACATTTAAATAAAAATGTTGTATTAAAATAGATGGGAGTTGTGAATGCACACTGTCATTGATGATGAGTACTCCTTACCCAGGACGAAACGACCATCTTCCAGGTTTCTAATGCTGGTAGTCTAACATTCATCATCGATTAAGGATTTTGAAAAAATTTTCATTATTTATGCGAATTGATCGATAAAAAGATGAATAGAATAAATGATGAGTAGTATAGTTAAACAGTGTGATAATAAAATTTTGATGGAATTTTCAAACATTTCAATAAACTTTTTTTTTCAGAATTTTTATTATAAACTTCTAGAGATTGTTAAGTTTTATTGAAGAAATTACAAATGGATCATGGTTATATTACCAGTGGAAACCTCAGTCAGTCAGTCAGTCAGTCAGTCGGTTACATCGGAGAACTTTGCACTTAAAAGTACATCAGTTCAGGTTGCCATACCACATATTAGCACAGAAATGCAATTGTCAATTAAAATCCGATTGTAGTAAAGATAGTAAGTAGAGGCATTACTGGTAATGGAGAAGATTAGGGTTCGAAGATATCATTTGAAAAGTATAATTCAGTGAGATAACTTTTAGAAAGAGGAAGATAGAGATGATGAGGAATTCAGAAGATTAGAAATTCAGAGAACACAAAGAGCGGATGCACCTGCGCTATTGCAAACGATTTTGAGTCATGTCATTCAACGTCTCGCTAACGATCGATTACTATCATCTCACAGACCCCAACCAGGTAGTCTACAGCTACCAGCAAGACTCAATACACTTGTCTTTGTGATTTCATGGATTTGTGTCATGTTTTGGTTTGGCCGCCCCTAGCTTTCTGCCAACCTACTCCTACACTGCGAAACGTAGCTCGTCGAGGCAGTCGGTGGTTGCGCATTCGTAACACATGGCACAACCAACTCAACTGATGGAGTTTCACTACTTCGTCTATTGATCTGCTATCCCAACCTAGTACTCAATTCCCAGCTATAGCATTGCTTACTCGGTTGGGTTATGGTTGCTGCTGTTTCTATGCCTACATGGCAATGCGCATCCACAACTCCTGCCTCTACTCGCGAGGTTCGAACCCGGACCCTTCGGTCTTGCGTGAGAATGCTTAAAATCTCTACGTTTCATTTATATCTATCATGATTTTCATGAAAAATGAAAAAATTGGTCCTTCGAAATAAAAATCGAGGATAACTGGGGTTCTTTAAATCCGAAATAGTTTATAAGCATTTACTTATCTACTTACTTAACTGGACAAGTGTTACGTATGCACAACTGCCGACTGCCTTGTGGTATAGGAGTAGGTTGGAAGAAATCTAGGGTCGGCCAAACCAAAACATGGCACAAATCCATCAAGTCACACAGACAAGTTGATTGAGTCATGTTGATAGATGTAGACTACCTGGTTAAGGCCCGCGAGACGATAGTAATTGATGGTGCAGGTGCCTTCATTCTTTATATTCTCTGAAATTCTAGACATCTGAATTCCTCATCACATCTATCTTTCTGTTTCTATATTTATCTCACTAATTTATGCCTGTCGAATCATATCCTCGCTCCCTAATCTTCTCCATTACTGCTTCTTTTACTTCTACTATCGCTATCAACTCCTGGCTTTGAACTGACAGTTGTGTCTGTTTGTTAATACGGTATGGCAACCTGAACTGATGTACGTACGTACGAATTTCTGTGTTGTATCTGGAAAGCTTATTATCTCAATAAACAAAACTATTTTTTTTATGTACTAGTTTCAAGCAGAATCGCCTTCACTGCGCTCTCAACTCTCTTCCAAATAGATTAATAACAATGTGGGTAGTAATAATAATCAAAAAAATTCTCGAATTCACTTCAATATAAACTCTATTTGTCATTAAACCAAACCGGAAGAAGAACACATACACACACACATGTTATAAAACATTGATCACTCCTACTGTAGTGAATGAGAACACAGGTGGGGCAACCGGATTAGTATTTAGCGAAAATTACAGAGTTACTCAGTAAAATTGGAAAACCATATCGTAAATCGTTCATTTGCAAAAGATCAGTTCATACTATGGAACTGGACTGTTCCTGTTGCAAAACATCAATCCATTGTCACTATTCATGCGTTTCATACAAATTCCATTGTTTTCTAACTCTACCTTTCTTGATCTTCCCCCCATATTATGCTACCAGACTTTACGTTGACACTCACGTCATATACTACTTATAAGTAGTTCACACCACAACACCACACTAGCCCTTTTTTAAACATTGAACAAAATCAATACATTTCAACGGACTAGCCACGCATCATTGCATAACATGGAAATTCTTATATAGCAAGATCACAACCATCGTAATCGTAAAAGAGAAAAAACTATTCCAGCCAGTTTGATACAATTCATTTTAGATTTACAAAGAAGGGAAATTATGTATGAACAGGTATGATCACAAAACATTACACAACCACATGCGCACGCACACGCAGAAAGAGGGGAAATAAAACCGGAGAGAAACGTGACTTCTTATTTTTTTCTTGAGTACTCTATACATGTACTAAAATTTTATTGAACATGACAAAAAAATGTCACGAACACAGAAAACACAAGCAAACAAAGAACGTTGAACAAAATTATTATTATTATTATTATTACTATTATTATTATTATTATTATTATTATTACTATTATTGTCGAAAAAGACAATTTCACACACATACACAAGAAAAAGGACTTCCACAAAGTAAAT